CTCTTTGGAGTCCAGAATTCCATGCACCCAATAATACTAATAGGCACATTCAGTAAATAGATTGGTTCCTAAATGCACATTCCTTGCAAGTGTCGCTAGCTTGACCCCTTTGAAGTCTCCTTGCACCCAGAAACCCCTGACTTGTCCCCCTTTACGGAACATCGGCAATGGCCGAGAAAAAGATCTTGCAATAGTATAATTTAGGCCTATGATTCAATCAACCGAGAAAGGCAAGTGCCCGTATAATAAACCCTCATTTGTAACACTTTCAGCGTACGCACGTTGGAAAGTCTCTCTACGGTAACACACGATGGTCTTCCATGATTCATCGAACTGGATGCGAAGAATGTCCGAGCGATCGTCTGGAGGATGGGTTGGAGATTATCGTGCTGTCACTTTGCTGAAGCTGAGTCCTGTTGACATGTCTGCCGTAAATACTTAAACATTTTTTTCAGATGCGTCTTAAATGTAAGTGTCAGGATGTAGGCACTGGGCACTGCACTCTTGTAGAATGTTCCTGGGAGTACACTCGGGCATTGGTAGTATATTTTGAATGCTTCAAAATCCATTGGGATACGTGTTTTGACTGATAGGGATGGATGTGTCCACGTTATTGCGAACATGTGTGTGCTTAGATTTTCTGACACTGATTCAAGACCTACAATTCATTTTCCAGACACAGTCATTCTGTATGTCCTATATTCAAAGAGTAATAGCCCGTGTCGCAAACTGGCGTCTAGAGCTATACGACTACGTCTACGTCTATTGCCAGCTTGTTCCCACGTTGTTACGGACCTAATTTGAGATTCGGGCGCAACCCTACTCTGGCAGCTGCTATTTTGGAGGCTTATTTATTTGAATTCATGGTTGAGAGTAGCAATGAAAATTTTAAACAATCGTATCAAAAAGCGACCCCGAATTCTTTTCTCTCACCAGAAGAATTAAACGGAGGATTATGTGCCAATTTTTTTGAAATCAATTGCTTAGCTTTTCTGTGTTCCCCCGCATGCCCGAATGGGTGAACTGCTCAAAATCGCAGGATAACTAAGTGAATATAAACCCAACAAGATATAAACAAGTCAATTCTGTAACCATAAAGCTTCTCGTACATATATCTGAGTGTTTGAAAACACACCGATGCTAACAGCTGACCCAGTCGACTCTAATCTTCCCTATTAATATTGTGAAGCTTCAAATTGATTGGTTCGAGGCGTCAACACATGACAAGATGTGCAACACCTGTACGGGCGAAGTGATGTAAACTCACGCTAATGACCTGACACCGTGATTCGGTAGTGCGCAGCTGCTCAAAACACGCGGGACCATCTCCAAGAATTCTAAAATAATGTCAGTTTTGACAGTGATTGTGATTGCGCGTGTCTCCGTATGGTCGAAGATTGTACAACCAAATCCCTTAAGTTATATCATGAGAGTCTCTTTGCACCGTCAACGACCCTTCACAACCAGTCGGAAGCAAACACCCATCATCTCTGGCGCTTCGGAGGTGTCATCCCGCCGGACGACAAATTGTAATTTAAGTGAGAACCTTCAAATTGAAACATAAAATACGCAGCGCCTTGATGAAGGCAGTCTTGGTCATTAGACAAATTGGATGTTCCCTGTTGTCACGAGCTTTCCTCTTTCGTTTGTTTTTTCCTTCTGGGTTGTGCATTGGATGCAGAGGCTTATCCAGTGGTTGTTTGTTTTAGTGTAATTTATTTTACAAAAAAAATGTACAGGAGTGATTATGTCGTTTCAACGGAGAAAGTCCACAAGAAGGATCTGCACAAGCCAAGATTTGTGGTTCCGAGTCACTGATGAGGTATCTCCCTTGCGATTTAGAGTCACTACATAGATTGAGAGAACATAGCCTATACCGCTAGCGGACGAGAAATATTTAAAAAAAAAAAAAAAAACACTTAGGCCTAAGTTAAGCAGTTAAGAAGCCAGTCTTGCGAGTATTTGCTGTCAGAAATCAGGAATCCTTTAATCTGAGCCACTTTTTCATTTTTTGTTCATTTGTCCTGTTTTTTTTAAAACATAGCTGTCATGAACGTTAAGGAGGCAAGATGTTTGACAGAAGTTGTTATTGTGTGTCATTGTCTCAAATTTTAGAATTTTGGTGGAAAGAAATTTCAGAAAATAACATTGGTTTTAGGCCTACGTTGGTTTTTAACGAATGGAGAAAAATAGCAAGAAATGTATTGAACAGAAAGTTAGGAAAATAGATATAGAAACAATCCTAGATTAACTGGAAAGAATCGAAAACTCATTGAGACGCGAAGGTAGACACTGGTACAAGACTTAATGTCCGACTTTCTTGTTCATCTCATGGAATCAATTAAACACAGTCGCCTTCAAACCTTAATGAAAAGTAATCTGGTCGCGCGTGTGGTGTTGTTTTACATGCCTAACACAGATGGTATAATGGCAGATTTTATAATGGAAGGGTGAAATTACATCCTAGCGAATTTCCAATTAGACCTGGAAACGAATCGGATTATTTGAGCTGTTCCCAGTATCGTTCTTGATCCTAACATTCGATCAATCGGGAATTGGACAGCTATACTGTAAGTTGATCACTTAATATTGAAGTAACGTTTAAAATATGCAGACTTCATGGCTTCGTCATTGAATTAGTTTAAGCTGCATTTGAGACCACATTGCACAGAGCTTTGCATGTAAGCGCCGAAATGAATTACTTAGCAAAGTAGATTACCGACACCAGCGAAAATATCATGCAATGTACGAAAATGGTCTAATTAGTTTGCTGTATAAAAGTGGCCCCTGGGCCCAAGCCCACTGAGCTGCTATAGAAAACATTCCTTTATAGCAGATGTATTTGCCGCGTAAAAAAAATCATTTGAGAATTTATCGTAACCGACATTTTATTGCATGACATTATGGCTTATTAACTACCATTGCTAAGTAGTTTTGATTCTTAGCAAAGTTCATTGCTTTGCTTCTCTAAGTTTCTGCATTTTATTTCCTGGGTTCGTGTTATCACAAACCAGTTAAATTCAGCAACGTTGAACTAAATTACACTGACCATATATATACCAGTTTTGAACTATTATTTAGAGTGAAATAGGTCAGAAAATGGCCCTTATATCATTTCCGTGAATTGTATACAAGGGATCAGATTTTAAAATGACCAATTAGGAGCTTAGGTTTTATCATGTATCGCTTTGTTGGGAATGTGCGCAAAGACCATTATTAGGTTTAATAACTGAGAATTGCACTACGGAAGTATGAATATTTTCAAATGCAAAATGGCATTCAATGACGCATCATAATATACACTCTGCCTGATTGTGGGCGGTTGGATGAAGATATGCTATTATTTTGGTGTATGTACTTCATAATGACATACCAGCAGAATTGCAACAGCTGCATAATTTTAATATAGCCTATACCATCTGAATGTTAATATACATTGTATATAGCAAGTCCATGGTCATCTACTACTGATCGACAGCTTTAATGTGGTTTATTGCTAATAATATTACTCATGCATAAACTGAAAAATAGTAAAAGTGAGCAATTTTTATTCATATTCGTTTCAGGAGGTATTTGAAAAAAAGAATAATAATTTATTCGGGTCCCATTTATGGGGAGTTATTTTGCGAATGGGAAATAGCTGGGGTTAGGGTATAGGTGATAGTGGATGGGTGAATAGGGGGATTGGGTTAGTATTTGGGATGGCTTGGGAAGTCGTGGTTGGGTGATGATTTAGGTTGGGGCCTCAGGTGGCGGTCTATAGGGTTTGGGGTGTGTTGGATAGAATCACGAGGCGGGCAACGGAGTTTACGTAGTGATTTATTCCATGTCTCCTATAGGAACTACATCACAAAGCCCACCTGCTGCTGAAAAGATGATTGCAATAATTAGTCATCTTGTTCAAATCCATGCGCGTTATTGGGCCAGCGCGGCTTTATTTGATGGATTAAAATTAATAAACAGTCTGATCGCATTTGTTAAAATTCGCGCCCATCAATTTCAATCGCAGAAAGTCCGAGTGGTAAATTCGTGTCCACTTCCTGTCTGTTCTGCTCGCCCCGACAGACCAACCAAAGCGCCGACCTAATGCATTTGTAATGGCGCCCAACCATTAAAATTTCTTTCCGAGCGCTAGGGCAAATTTAAAAGAATAAATAGACCATGACTTGAGGTCCACCAATCATCACGGCTGTGGAGGGAAGAAAAGGGTATGGGGTAAATATAGAACGACCAAATTGAAAGCCCCAGTTCGGATATAAGAGCGCTGAAAAATAATGATTGATGGTGACATCACGTGTTAGCCTCTTTCGAGAAATAGGCGTTCGTGTTGCTGCGGCTTGATGTGAGACTATGATAGTTGTCATTTCTGCATGACCCTCCGAATTAAATGGCTACGGCAGTTACACACGATTCTATTAGAAGTGGATTCAGCCGCTTCCATAGGCGCATTGCTAGCCGTAGCCATAGACTAGTCCACGAGCGCGGCGTGGAGGCCGTCCTCTATGATGTAGTCAATATCAGTCTTGATCTGCATAGCATGCAGCAAGGCAGGCGTATAAATGATCGGTGGCAAGGAGGCTCAACGCCGTCATCAATAAAGGGCCATCACACTTGATCGCGGTAGTGAGAGGAAATAGTACAAGGTGTCGGGAACGCAACAACGCACCTCGGCCAGCTGAGAAAAAAACCAGCCCTGAACCGTCGATGCAGATTCTCAGCACGTTGTTTTCCTTGTATCGCCGACATCACAGTTTGTTTTAATTTCCTCTTTGGCTGCCATGTTTCTTTAATACTATTAGAATTACTTGTTCGAGATAGTGCGTTAAGCTGGACATTTTAAGCCATCTGAGACTTATCGATACTTGGTTTCGCTTATACTTTTCCCCGCCGGATATAAACCGGCTGGTGTGATAGATTGATCAGAGGGCTAGGGGTATGATGAGTCGATCAGATGATGATAGGGGAATTGGCCGGCGTAGCATCGTGGTCCCACCACACTGATGCTCCGAGGCATCCGTCGTACTGTGTCTAGCCGGTCCGGTGATACCATGTCCAGCCACGCCGCTGTCTGCGAGGACACGGTGGCCGGTAGCTGCTGTAGCCCACGCCTGGTGCGTTGGCTGCGGGGCTCTCTTCCCGTCCTCCTCTGGACTGGTTACCTCTTGGTGGGTGCGGCTATCTTCCAGGCCGTGGAGTATCCTGAAGCCGAGCGGCAACGGGAAATACAGGCCAATCTGACGAAGACCACCAACAGTACCATCGTACGGCTCTTCACAGAACTACTGGACAACATGAACGAAACTATGAATGATACCAAACAGAACAAGATACTGACGGAGTTGGCCATCAATCTAAAGACGATGTCAGACGAGACAGTGAACATTACCCGGTGGGACTTCATGAACTCCGCGCTATTCTGCATGACAGTGGTCTCGACAATCGGTAAGATTCTCACTCCTTTCCCTTCATTTGCCTTGAAAATGAAAGAGTTTCTGAAATGGTAAGGGGTTTCTTCAAAAGATATAATGTTAGGGGGACTCGGGGATTGGTCTTGAGTTTAAAAGAAAATGCGGTTAATCAAGACATGGATATGCGCCATGGTTAATGTTGTACATGTATAGGCCTAGGTTAAAACGCTTTCTACGTTTTTTTTCAGAGGCAGTGGCCTAAATCTTTGCCTGCGAGTGGGGGATGGGGATGACCAAAATCCAAGTCGTAACCCCGATGCTCTTATTTCTCAAATGATTAACTTCGTTTTTTTTATGCGCAAGAGTCATTTACAAATTGCACATAGATGACCCAAAATGTTTTTTCCCCTTCTTTTTTGGAACTTGTTTGCTCAAATTCAAACCATTTCCTAAAGTTTCATGTCCAAGAAATGCATGGATAAATGGAAACAGATTATTTTTTATACTTGAAAATATTATCAGAGACCATTTAGCAGATCAACACAAAGCAGATGTGTTTTTAATATCTCACCCCGACGCTAGTCTGCATAAAACTGTCCCTTGATTTGGCCTAGATTTCGCCGGTGATTTTCAATTCGGAATGGCCTCAGCGGACTTCGCGTAGCGGTAAACAGCAAGCGTCACTACGGCTTGCGGAAAGACAAGCTGCTCAAACAAGGACGCTTTTGAGCTTACAAAAACAGAGCTGCACTATACAATCGATTATCCGTCATCTCTCCTCCACTTGTCATTGTTTCAGCTTTCGATTTATCTGGCTTTGCCAAAGACAAATACATTAATTTGATGGCACAGCGATGAGTTATAAACAGTCCTATGGGGTCAGAAGACATTCCAACACTGCTTTGAAATGTGATGAAAAATAACGAACTTGTCTATAAACGTCCATATGCTGAAAATTATTGTGTATCCCAATGGGGAAAAAATGTGGCAGTTGCTCACTGAAACTTAAACTGTAACTACTATAACACGACTGGCAAGGGATGAACATTACTGGAAAATGGTATTACTCTACGCGATGCGGTGCCTGATGTGGATCGAGCCCGAATGTGCTTCTAATGCTTAATGAATTACATGCAATGGACATAGCCATGCATTGTGCCCATAGTTATGTCACCATGAAAATGTGGTTGTCAAGTGTTGCGTGTTGTTTAATTCATCGAGAACGAACTATGGACCATGGGACTTGCTCAACTTTAAACCATCCTTTTGGTCATATATTTCAGCGTTGTTCAGTCAATCTATTTGTGGGCCATACGCGTAAAAAAGCGCCATTATTCCCTTATGCTATACACTTAATGCCACTCTTTATGCGCATGTACATTACATTATTATAATACAAGTTATCATTTTTATAATACGCATATTGTGATAGGCGTCATGTGTTGGATATTGACATGAATGGTAATGAATTAATTAATCAAATTAGGTTTTGCCCTTCACCGACGTTTAAACACTGTATACTCAGTGTGTTACCTCCCGAGTGAAAGTTGGAAAAAATCACTCGGATGGGACTCAAACCCACCCCTCCTGTTTTCTAGTGCAGATGTCTTACCACCCGACCACCGAGCTAACGGGATCGGTTGGCTGGTTCGAATCTGATGTACATAGCAGCGGGTACCGCATAAACTATTATAAGAAGGAAATTTGCGTCGGGGTGATATAAATCAAATTAGGTTTTTGCCCTTCACCGACGTTTAAACACTGTATACTCAGTGTGTTACCTCCCGAGTGAAAGTTGGAAAAAAATCGGTGTCGGTGAAGGGCAAAAACCTAATTTGATTTATATCACCCCGACGTAAAATTCCATCTTATAATAGAATTAATTCATGTTTTCTCAATGACTAATGTACTATAGATTTCTTTGAAAGATGAGCTATCTTTTGACTCAGAGAGTGATGAATGTATCATGTGCACTAAACTCAGCTGGGAAGCCCATGGCGCTACTGATTTTTGCTCCTTGGTTCTCGGTGGATCGGAACCGGGACAAATTAGTGCCGGTTTCATGCTCTCTTTTGACGCCAAATTAGACATTGTTACCACATGGACCGAATGGACCGTCTCTAATTAGTTGGAAGCGAATTAGCTTCCTGAACACAATCGTATGGCTGTTATCGGCCAATTATTGAACAGAACTAATGTAATATTGATGTTACACAGCCCCTTTTGTACAATAACATTCAAACAAAATGGAAATTGGAAACAGTTGTATTCTAAAAAAAAAAATATTAAAAATAATAATTAGATTTGTTAAAAAGACGAACAGGACAAATTTTTGAAGAATACTCCAGTGAGAATTTGTTTGAATCCATTCCATGAATTAAACAACGGATGGCGCACAGCTGATTCGATCCAATTAAACTTATTCTAATTTCACCAAAAAGTGCACATAAACGCTATTGATCTGTGGTTTGTAGTGCTGTATAACACGCAGGTCATTTTCTGTAAGCTTTCCATTTACATGGGATAAAATGACAGAAACACGTGCGTCTCTTCAGCGTATACATCGTTGTTTTTTTCCGACGCCGATCAATCTTTCAATATTTAGTTGTCCTCAAACCAAGTGTGCTTAATCAATTATTCAAATGTTACAGGGCAGCCGAACCATTATTGCATTTTCACCGAGTGGACAAGATTGACGATTTTTTTCTATCGTGGGTTGTGAAATGCTTGATAAGTGCGAGTAATATAACATTTACTCTGTCATTTGGATGATCCACATGTCTTCGACAAGATGGATTTAGCTGGGGACATTTTTCGTGACGTACTAATTGTGTCTCCCCGCAAACGATTTGTATTCGTTAATGTGCGCGTGCGCAAGGAGGATTTCGGACCTTGTTTCCTTTTAATTTAGCCATCACTCTGTGCTACGAGAATACAATCCGTCACGGAAGCACACTCAGCACATTCATTTTAAGTGATTTGTCCAGGTTTCATGCCCTCCTCACTCATTCCTGCCATGGCGTTGTCGTTTTTACCTTTGTACACGCCCCCATTTCGTTAGGCCCCTCCCACTGCCTCGATTTAACATACCGTATTAAAAAGACGTTCTTTCCTATTTGGTAATGTCTTACACCCCCTCTCAACACGCCCACCCCTCTGCATGATTTAACCCAATCGTTTAAAGTCTGCGCCACAACGTTGTTATGTCAGTATAAAGCTAATCACCTCTTTCTCAAGTGTCTTCTTCTGTCCTTTTCCAAGGGTACAGTGTTATTAGTCAGTGGGCTTGTGGGGCCCATGTACATTTTGGGGTACACTCTTTGAAACTCTCAGGATCACTTATGGATACCTCAACAGGTTCAAAACCACTTGATACATCATTTCTGACCCTTTTATGGGCGGGGCCATGACATTATAAAGTGGGGAGCTTTGCGCGAAAAAAATGATTCCGATAATTTCACGTTTCTTTTTCGCATTTGGACAGCTCACCCAAGTGCTGAGTCAAGAGAATAAAAACAATCAAGAATTTGGGCCCTTTTGGGGATGGGGCCAGGCCGCATTTTATAAAAGTGGGGGGGGGGGCAAATGGTGTTCATAGAAATAAAGCTGTAACAAGCAAACTTGGTGTGGTTTTTCCCCCATTCAGTATACAATAGCAAACAGGGGTGGAGACCGGAGAGAGTGTTTACAATGTCAGATCATAAAGATTTTGTTCCCAGTTGGGGGCGTGACACAATTTTTTTCATAAAAAGGGGGCATATATTGCGTATGAACAAAAAACAACAATGTAACCCAAATTTTTAGCTTGTCATTGTCTTTAGGCAGAAAACTAAAATTTTCAAAAGTGATATAGGAAGAGGATGATTTCACATAAAAGGCCAAATTTATGTCGCTTCGTTTGTCTGAAATCGTCAAAATAAAAGTAAATATACTATACATCTGTAAATGTATCTCAAATTGCTCTATGTAAATTTTACAACTAAATTGAAATTGGAACATCAAGTGTAACCATTTTCTGCTTTTGGCCTCTTCCCTTATATAATTGACGTTCCAGAATAGAATAGACGTTCCAGCTCTGTTTTCCAATTTTAGTGTAACAAAATTGATTTTAAGGACAAAATATTACTTTTTTTATGATTTCCCCATTTTTATTTTTACAAAAATGTAGGCCTACTTCCTCTTCATAAAAGTGAAACACGATTTGAAATTTTGCCGTATAATTTACTGCTTATAAACTTTAGACCGCCAAGGCCAAATTCAGAACACACAATTGACATGAGTTTGGATTATGTTGTAGTATCTTGTAATTTAACTTTTTTTCGAACCCCAAATTATGAAATGTGTCCCTGCCCCCTATTAAAGAGAAAAGTTGTTCAAAAACAGGTAATTCCAAATTCAAATTTACCATCTGCTGCAAACAAAGTCTTGATAAATGGCTCTCCTTTTGGGTGTATTTCGCCAAGTTTTCCAAATGGACGCCCCGCCCTCAAAAAAGGTCAGTGAAAAATTGGTATTCGGCTCAAAAACAAAACCCGGAAAGCACACTCTTCTGTGGTATATATAAGGAAAAAATGGCATCAAGTGGATTTGGGTTTGAAAGTGTTTTATTAATAATCCCTGAAATTTTCAAAAAATGCACCCGAAATTGCATACAGGAGCGGAGCTGATCTTTTTACCATTAGCCAACTGACTATAGTTAGGCTAAAATGTTGTTTGGGTGCGGAAGCTAGAGAATTTGAAGACCTCAACGAATCCACAATTTGAAGGATATGTTTTTTCCTTTGACAAAAGCAACATATTAAAGGTATAATGTCCGTTCTCTTCAACGATTTTTTTTTTCTCACGATTTATCATTTTGCATGTTTCATTTTGGCGTAAAAACTACCTGAATTAGGAGGTTTGTTTTTTTCCAATCCATAAAAAGAATATGTGTAGATATTACTCACGTATCATTAATTACGTTTCACTCCTGAGCTAGGAGCTTCGTCAGACTGGCAACCATGTCCAATGCTCAACTGCCTTTTATACCCTTGC